AGTATCTTTAAGTGCCTGGTATGTTAATATCTCAGTTTAGACTTAAAATCTGATGCTTTTTTTCATTCCTGGTCGGTACTTGTGCTCGTCGATGATAATGGTGACGTGACAATTACTAATGATGGTGCGACGATATTGAAAATGCTGGAGGTTGAACATCCCTCTGCCAAGGTAAACTTTGTGTTTTTGTGCTTTTACAATTTAGCATTGCAAGAAATTTATGTGTAGTTCTTAAATAATACAGGTTCTTGGTTAGCTGGCAAGAATTACAAGACCGAGAAGTAGGAGATGGCACAACATCTGTGGTCATCATAGCTGCAGAATTGTTGAAGGTATTATGGCCAGTTTTGCGGTTGCGGGAGTAGAATATTTTACCTAAATTGGTAACCTGAAATGTTCTATGCTAATTTGGGATTTATTTCTACAGAGAGCTAATGATTTAGTGAGAAACAAGATTCATCCAACATCGATAATCAGTGGTTACAGGGTTCGCACTCAACTGCTGGAAAAGAACTTGAAAACAGCTAATAAATCTCAATTTAGCTTTTTAATTGCTGAAGTTAGTATCATAACTGGTCATAGGAGTTAAAGACGGAAGTAGTCACCATTTTTTAACTGGATTGGAAATATGGTGGACCGCTGAATTCATTCTTTCCAGGAATAAGGAGCACGCTCGACAATTAAATAGTCCTGCCTAATATCTTTCACCACCCGAATTTCATCATCAATATATACCGACTCAAACCTACATAGAAGATTATGAGTTAGTTTTAGTTGCATAAAAGAGAACAAGAAAAACAATGCCATCATGGTCACAATAACACGTGAAATTAATTTGAAATAAGAATTCTCTAGAGGGTCTTGTATCTTGTGGAATTGTTCAATACATCAAGCCAATGGTGTGCACAAAATATGAATGAAAATAGTTTTATTGCTCTTCTTCAGGATATCATCATTTGATTTTGATATGTACAGATATTATCAAGTATCAAATGAATTTAATAGCATATTCGAAGAAATTCTGACTCGCGGTCAGAATGAGTTCTGAGTGGTGAATATAATTCTCTCCATGTAGTGAGAGAGTAAGAGAATAAATGTCACTTACCAACCCTGACCAAATGGTGGGAGAGGAAACTCCCATCCCTTACCGCGGAGAACAACACTTGTAAATCTACAAAAGTAATATTCATAACACAAATTAAGGCAGTCCTTGATCCTTTAATCCTAAAAAATAGCCGATTAATATACATTCAGCAATTTTGCCCAATTTATCCCATTTATGCACCCAACACAATTTCAGAGCTCATCACTTACAAAAATTCACTTCATCCAAGATATAATTGCAGTGGTTTTTAGAGTTCTAGACTGCTTTAGAAACTACAAATAGTAAGTCTGCACTTTGCAACACCAAATAAACTATGGAGCAATATAAAAATGGAAACAACAACATGACCATTTCAATTAGTTTATGTGTAGCCATTTAACACTTATACCCATCAAACAAACAGTCAAACAATTCAAAAATCAAGGATCTTGTAGTCATTATCGTAATCACAAGCTATGATATATACAAACATCAAATATTGTAATGCAAGTCACAATAATCAAAATCAAGTAATGCAATACTAAACATCTCTGTAATGTAGATAGATTACTTCATCTCAAATGACAGCTCAAAACAAACAAGCAAACAAACAAAGTATCCCCAAAAAAATTACTTAAGATAAAGCACTTCCCCTAAATCTCTGACCGAACAAAGAACACACCGTCCGGAGGGAAAGTGATAATGTTGTTGAGAGTCTTCTGCTCAACGTTGATAACCTACAAAACATCGCCAGCTGAGGTTCAAAAAACCGGCGCGTTCTTCACGATGAAGAGCTTCTCCTTCTCGGTGGTCCACAGCATCCGCCACGTGTCTGAAAGCGATTCTCTGGTGTTGACGCTCCCGCGACTGGTTGCAGCCAGTGAATCGACGGCCTCGACTATCTGGGAAAGCCTCTGCGTTTCGGACTGTGTTTTGAGGCTGCGGTCCTGGTCGGCGATCAGGCGGAGGAGGTGGCGCTTGGCGTCGACAGACGGAGACTGCGATTGGTCGCTGAGGGACAAACGCGTGACCCTAGCGAATCTCCTTGGAGGGAGAGAGAAATTGGAAATGGCGGGAAGGGAGAGAGAGTTGGTGGCCATTTTTGAGTGTTGGCGGAGCTTTTTTTTAGTGTAGTTCTGGAGAGAGAGAAAATCAAAACTTCTACAATTATCCAAATCAATTCGATGAATGGATGGATGGGAGTCGGGGCGGGTTAAGTTACATCCAATATAATCGGACCTAATAGTATAAGGGAAATTTGCATATATAGATTCCTTGTAAGATATATTTACATATCTACGTAGTAAAGAAAGTTTAATCAAAATGAATATTTATGGGGTATTTTTTTTCACATCTACGAACTTATCTTTATCTCACCTAATAATTTTTAGTTACGACAATAAGAAGAAGAAAACTGGACAATTTTTAGTTTTTCACAACTCACCCGAATCGGGGCTATGCTACGACAATATAATTACTCTCCTTTTTTAACCTTGGGTCATGAAATTTAACATTGGATTGAACTTGTACAAAATGGCAATGATTGACCATCACAAAACTTAACTATGCTGCACAGTCATCTAAATGATGACTGAAGAACAGAAATAGTAAATATTAAGTAAATAAATAGAGAGTTGGGGCATTCTATTATCAGATTTGCCTCGTACCAGCTTCGTACCTACCTAACATTAGGTACCCCTTTAAAATCCTGCCACATGTCCTCTTAATTAATTAATGACGAA